CCACTCGATATATCTCTATATCTATACACACACACACACACACACACACACACACACACACACACACACACACACACACACACATATATACACATATATATATATTGGGTGAAAAGAAGGAAGGCTACAAGAGAAATGATTCTGTTGGGATGCTTTTCACAAATTCGGCTTCTTAGAAAGTACCAAAAAATGGAAGAGAAATCCCATTAACTGGAGAGATTGAGCATGAAGTAGAAGCCACAAGACGGGACACATATCTAAGCAGCCCTGTGATTGTTGGGTGGTGGAAGTTGCTGAGGCGGCCAGTGCCACCATGAAGGAGATGATAATACCGGTAATATGTGTATGAGAAACACTTTGAAACCAGTAAGAATATGGATTACTGTCGATGCGTTTTGCCTGTCGGGGGCCATCGTGAGCGATGAACATGAGACTATTAATGATGCGTGTCATTTGAAGTGCGGTCGACCAAGCCCATTTGCCGTATGGGCTCGGTCTTCTGATCCTCTGGAGCCGCCTCAAAGAGAAGAGAAGAAGCAAGAAGATAAGCCGGCGTAATATTGTAAACGACAAAGCAACTTGGCTCAGGCGGGCAGCGAAGTGATTATGGTGTAACAGAAAGGAGGTAATAGAATAGAGGGAAGGAGAAAGTGATGAGGTCACAGAGCCAGAAGTGGTTTCTCTTTCTTAAAAATAGGCATTATTTTTCCAGTCTCCCGGGTGTTTTTAACATCATAACGGTGACCTTTTTCTTTCTGCTCTTCCCACACAGCTTTTTTGCAGCCCTATATTTGTCACAATGAAACACATAATTAACTGCACTCAAGACTTCTCTGCGCAGAGTACCCACCTACTCCAACACTCATTTCCCGTCTTGCAGAAGTGCAGCATCTAATTGCTCTTTGTTTTGTTGAAATCTTTTGCGGAAAAAAAAAAGAATTGACTTTCTGATAGAAGCCTTCTGTTTCAGAAACAAGACAAATAGTACTACGCTATTGCCCCAAATATTTCAATTAATATTCGGGTAAATTATTCTCTTAAACAAATAAAAACCTCCCCTCAAATAGATGCCTATTTTTTTTCAAGGAAAAAATTACTGACACAGTTTTTATTTTTTAATCTTTAGCACTTGCACACAGGTAACCTGGAACTGCGAATGTGACGGAACCTGTCAACTG